ACAAGTGCTCAGCATATGTGGGAACTCCTTCAACAGTTGGAAAAGCATTCCAGGTGAAGCTGGTTGAGAGAATGCCAAGAGTGTGCAAAGCTGTCATCAAGGCAAAGGGTGGCTATTTGCAGAATCTCAAATCTCAAATCTATTTTGATTTGTTTAACACTTTTTTGGTTACTACATCATTCCATATGTGTTATTTCACAGTTTTGATGTCTTCACTATTATTCTACAATGTAGATAATAGTAAAAATAAAGAAAAACCCTTGAATGAGTAGGTGTTCTAAACCTTTTGACCGGTAGTGTATGTGTTATGATTTTACATCCCCTCATGTATTGTGGATAAAGAGTTACCTGTCTAACAGAACACAGAGGGTGTTCTTTAATGGAAGCCTCTCCAACATAATCCAGGTAGAATCAGGAGTTCCCCAGGGCAGCTGTCTAGGCCCCTTACTTTTTTCAATCTTTACTATTGACATGCCACTGGCTTTCAGTTAAGCAAGTGTGTCTACGTATGCGGATGACTCAACACTATACACGTCAGCTACTACAGCGACTAAAATGACTGCAACACTTAACAAAGAGCTGCAGTTAGTTTTGAAATGGGTGGCAATGAATAAGTTAGTACTAAATATTTCAAAAACTAAAATGTTACAGGAGGGGGTCGCAGTTCCGGAGCGACCCACTAGGTGTCATCCTCCGACAACCTTAGGCACCTCCTCACTCACAGTCGGGACTAATCATCATCCTATTGGTGTCACCTGAGTCTATCGGTTCACCTTTTTATTTATGCCCTCACTTCCCTGTGTTCCCTTGCTCAGTTTTCTCTGCTAGTTTCTCTATGTCCAGCAGTACTACTCAGTGTCTGATCGGAGATCTATGTACAGGTACCAGAAGTGTTCTCCCTGTTACGTTATTTGTTTCAGTCTTAGGTAGTATTTCGTATTTTGGCTGTCAGCCGGTTTTTGGAGACTTATTTGCTCCACCTTTCTTTTATTGTGATAAGTCTGTTATTTTGTATTTTGGCTTCGGGACCACCAGTAAAGATCCTTGTTTCACCATCATGCCTACTGTATGTCCTGCACTGCACCTGGGTCACACCTCACCCCAACCCTTACAGAAAACTGAGCCAATATGGACCCAACGGAGGCAGCACAGTATCGGAGCGCATTGGCAACGCAGGGAGCCATGCTGAACCAGCACGACCGCAGCCTGCAACAGATCACCGAGAATCTCCGCCAGCTGACGATCGCCGTGCAGAGCTGGGTGGACATCCGACCAGCCCCGGCAGCCGGCAGAGCGGAAGCCGCGGAGTCTCCAGTCTCGCTTGCGATATCGCAGGAACCCTGCCTACCACCTCCGGAGAGGTATGACGGACGTCCAGAGGGCTGCAGGGAATTTCTCACCCAGTGTTCCCTGGTATTCAGCCTACAACCCTCCTCCTTCCCGACGGAGCAGGGCCGTGTGGCCTACATCATCACTCTGTTGACGGGTCGGGCCCTTTCCTGGGCTGCCGCGGAGTGGGAGAGCCAAACTCCGGCATGCTCCGACTCCTACCAATTCACCCGGGAGCTACGCAAGGTGTTCGACACCTCTCAGGTGGTGTTGGGGCACGAGGCCGAGAGGCGGCTCACGGCCTGTCGGCAGGGTGACCGTTCGGTGGCGGACTACTCCGTGGAGTTCCGGACCCGGGCTCGAGAGGCAGGATGGGAGGAGGCCGCCCTGGTCCTTTACGGACAATCGGCGTTATGAGAGGGCGCATGAGAGAGGGATGACGCAAGGCGTGCCTCCGCATCTCCCTATCAACCCGGAGGCTATCCGCCGATTCAGGGAGGAGACGCCTCAGGAGGAGGCTATGCAGCTGGGGGCGGCGCACTTGTCCAGGATGGAGAGGCAGAGGCGTCTGTGCCAGGGACGTTGCCTGTACTGCGGCCAGGCAGGTCACCACTGCGACTCATGCCCGGAGAAGACGGGAAGCCAGAACTGAAACCAAAACTCCAGAGACTCCCGGACTTTTCTCCCCGTCAGGGTTCAGTGGGCCCGCGCTGCGCGTCAGGCATATGCATTGGTGGATTCTGGGGCCGCGGGGCAGCAGAAAACCTGATGGACACGGGGCTGGCCCTAGGGTGGAGCGTTCCGTTACTCTCCCTCTCCGAGCCGGTTCCGGTCATGGGCCTGGACAGCCGGCCGTTGGGGTCGGGCTTCATCACCCGGCGCACTGTCCCCGTGCGTGTCCGGGTGGCGGGGGCGCTATGGGAGGATATCCAGTTTTTCATTGTGGACTCTCCGGAGTGTCCCCTCGTCCTCGGGCACCCCTGGCTGGTCGCCCACAAACCCCGGATAGACTGGTCCACGGGGCGGCTCATCCTGGAGGGAGGCTCTGCCTCCGTCCTGTTCCGGTCTCCACCGACCACTCATCAGCCCAAACCACAGTCCCAGACCACCTACCAGTCCTCACCTCTTCCCCAGGTCCCACACTCCGAACCGTCTACTGCCCTAGCGGTGGTTGCCACCGGGAGGACGGCGGCTACAGACTCCGTCACCTGCCCAGACCTGGCAGGTGTTCCCCGGGAGTATTGGGATCTGGGGGAGGTGTTTAGTAAGAGGCGTACCAAGGGCCTACCTCCTCACAGGCCTTATGACTGCGCTATCGATCTCCTGCCGGGCGCCATGCCCACACGAGGGCGATTGTTTGCCATTGTTCTGGCCGGAGACGCTGGCCATGAGGGAGTATATCGACGATGCACTCGTCGAGGGTCACATCCGTCCCTCTACCTTACCCGCCGGCGCGGGCTTCTTCTTCGTGGGGAAAAAGGACGGTGGGCAGCGGCCGTGCATTGATTACCGGGCGCTCAACGACATCACGGTTAAGAACCGCTACCCACTCCCCCTGATGACGACGGCATTCGAGTCATTGCAGGGAGCCCGGGTCTTCACCAAGCTGGACTCACGTAATGCCTACAACCTGGTGAGGATTCAGGAGGGGGATGAGTGGAAGACTGCTTTTAACACACCCAGTGGGCATTACGAGAACCAAGTCATAACGTTCGGTCTAGCCAACGCGCCTGCTGTGTTCTAGGCGTTGGTCAAAAACGTGCTTTGGCAGGAACTAATGGGGATCCATAATAAATACAATACAAAAATGTAATGTAATGTAGAGTAACGTGGATTAACATAGTATAATTTACTGTAATTTAGCGTAATGTAGTATAATGTACTGTAATGTAGGGTAATGTAGAATAATGTGGATTGATGTAGTATAATGTGGAGCAATGTAGTATAATGTAGAGTAATGTGGACTAACATAGTATAATGTGGAGCAATGTAGTATAATGTAGAGTCATGTGGACTAACATAGTATAATATGGAGTAATGTAGTATAATGTACTGTAATGTAGGGTAATGTAGAGTAATGTGGATTGATGTAGAATAATGTGGAGCAATGTAGGGTAATGTGGAGCAATGTAGGGTAATGTAGAGTAATGTGGACTAACATAGTATAATGTGGAGCAATGTAGTATAATGAAGAGTAATGTAGTATAATGTAGTGTAATGTAGTGTGAAGTAGAGGTGTCCTCTACCGGCAGAAAAAAACATGTCCATCACCTCTTTGTCCAGTGAGGCCTCGAGGTGCAGTGGTTTGTCAGACATCAGGAACTGTCTGGTGGTCTCAGCCATGGGCTGAGGGCCAGGCTTCTCTGGGGCGTACTGGACCTTACGGATTACCAGGCGTACTGAGTTCCTGTTCATACACAAGGGTTAGGGTTAGACACACTGAGTTCCTGTTCAGATACAAGGGTTAGGGTTAGACACACTGAGTTCCTGTTCAGACACAACCACTGGAAATCAGGAAGTCAACTATGGCTATATTAAAACATTCACATTGACATTTATTCAAACGATTCACAAATATGCTTTTAAAATACATATTGAATAAATACTTTTGCTCTAGCCATATGCAATACTATATAGCAATATGCAGTTATTGGGGACCAATGCAATACTATATAGCAATATGCAGTTATTGTGGACCAATGCAATACTATATAGCAATATGCAGTTATTGGGGACCAATGCAATACTATATAGCAATATGCAGTTATTGGGGACCAATGCAATACTATATAGCAATATGCAGTTATTGGGGACCAATGCAATACTATATAGCAATATGCAGTTATTGGGGACCAATGCAATACTATATAGCAATATGCAGTTATTGGGGACCAATGCAATACTATATAGCAATATGCAGTTATTGGGGACCAATGCAATACTATATAGCAATATGCAGTTATTGGGGACCAATGCAATACTATATAGCAATATGCAGTTATTTGGGACCAATGCAATACTATATAGCAATATGCAGTTATTGGGGACCAATGCAATACTATATAGCAATATGCAGTTATTGGGGACCAATGCAATACTATATAGCAATATGCAGTTATTGGGGACCAATGCAATACTATATAGCAATATGCAGTAATTGTAATAATTATATCTACATATGCCATTTTGCCGATGCAGTCATTGTGGAGTGGAATGACTCCATTTACCATGCTGGGCATATAGGACCTCCCCACCCAATCATATAGGACCTCCCCACTCAATCATATAGGACCTCCCCACCCAATCATATAGGACCTCCCCACCCAATCATATAGGACCTCCCCACCCAATCATATAGGACCTCCCCACCCAATCATATAGGACCTCCCCACCCAATCATATAGGACCTCCCCACCCAATCATATAGGACCTCCCCACCCAATCATATAGGACCTCCCCACCCAATCAAGTCTGAACTTTATGGTGTGAATTTATGATCGTCTTTAAATGTCAACATTCTCCTCTGTTCACTGTGCTGGTGTACATCCCTGAGACCTTCTGGACTGATTCAAAAGTAGTTTTCCCAACCATCATTCCATCATTTGAACTACATTAATAATTTACGTTTTTATGTGCTTAACATTTTGTATCATGATTATTCTTAAATTGTTTTACCTTTTATGTATTTTGTCTTGGACGTTCTCTGAGCAGAAAGCTTTGACTTCAAAGTCAACCCCGCAGGCCTTCAGAGACAAAATATAGAAACAAGTTTTCACTTTTAAGTTGGATTATTTTTCTGCTTAAATGTCATTATGGATTGTAACTGTTTGAACCTATACAGGTTAAAGTTAGATTTAGGCTGAACCCGAGAAGCACCTTCCCTGTGTCCTCCGGTCCAGGCTGCAGGGTGACTGAGCATGGTAAATTCAGTGGAATCTGTCGACAGAAATATAAAAAAAGTTTCAACCTTAGTACTTAAAACAGCTGACAGGAGGTTGGATGATGTGCTACCTTCATTTAGAAATTAGGATGAGATCATTGATTGATTCATTTTATCTGCCAGTTAAAAAAATAATACATATACACAGTGGAATGGTGTCAGATACTTTTTCCCACTGTGGTCCCTAAAGTGTATGGTGCAAAAACATTACAACATTATACAATTCACATATGACAACAAAAACAACAACACTAACAAAAAAAAAAAAACTCAAAAAAAACTCCTAATAGAGATCACAATGGTGGTGACCATTACCTCGAAGGTGAAAGGGTGAGCATGTTCCCCAAGCTTTTTGATCAGGCGTTCTTGAAGGCGAGTTAAGCTCTTTTTGTCTTCAGGCACTGGAGGGAAGGCCTGGATGTTGGCCACGAAGAGGTCCTTCCGAAACGTCAAGCCCAGAACATCCAAGTCCTCACGGCCATAACGGAAGGCGCATGTCAACGTCACAAAGACTGAGGAGAGAAGAGAAGAGTGAAGATAATCAAGTAGCTAATTAGACCTTTTTAAATGCAATATATTGCTGAAACCACAACCAGTCTAATGACGTCATGATAACCAGACTAATGACATCATGACGACCAGGCTAATTACGTAATGACAACCAGGCTATTGACGTCATGATGACCACTTATGACGTCATGACAAGCAGTTTTGTCCACTGGGTTGATTTAAGCTTCATTTCAAGCTGCCATTAACACAGTAGACAGACTCTTTCACAGTAGACAGTCTCTTTTCACAGTAGGCAGTCTCTTTTGACAGTATACAGTCTCTTTTCACGGTAAACAGTTTATTTTCACAGTAAACAGTCTCTTTTCACAGTAGACAGTCTCTTTTCACAGTAGACAGTCTCTTTTCACGGTAAACAGTTTATTTTCACAGTAGACAGTCTCTTTCACAGTACCTTTTCTCTCCTTCAGGTACTCTGGATCTATCAACACCACGCCGTCTGAAAGCAGAAGGAGATGTAAGAGTTATCTAGGTGTGTGAAATCAAACACCTTTCACCACCAGAAACAGTAGTCTAATGAACAATGCAACATCTCAAGGAAATACCTGTAATTATATCACACATCACATATTGCTTGAAGTCAAACACACAAAACCCTGCCGACTAAACCATAGTAAGTATATGGAGCGGTGTTTAAAGCTGGGTCTCCCAAGCACCACAAGAAGTGTTTCTGAACCAACTCCATTACAGAAGCATACTATAGGGTGGTGAGTGGGACATTCAGTACACAGAGCAGGGTGGTGAGTGGGACATTCAGTACACAGAGCAGGGTGGTGAGTGGGACATATAGTACACAGAGCAGGGTGGTGAGTGGGACATTCAGTACACAGAGCAGGGTGGTGAGTGGGACATTCAGTACACAGAGCAGGGTGGTGAGTGGGACATTCAGTACACAGAGCAGGGTGGTGAGTGGGACATTCAGTACACAGAGCAGGGTGGTGAGTGGGACATTCAGTACACAGAGCAGGGTGGTGAGTGGGACATTCAGTACACAGAGCAGGGTGGTGAGTGGGACATTCAGTACACAGAGCAGGGTGGTGAGTGGGACATTCAGTACACAGAGCAGGGTGGTGAGTGGGACATTCAGTACACAGAGCAGGGTGGTGAGTGGGACATTCAGTACACAGAGCAGGGTGGTGAGTGGGACATTCAGTACACATAGCAGGGTGGTGAGTGGGACATTCAGTACACAGAGCAGGGTGGTGAGTGGGACATTCAGTACACAGAGCAGGGTGGTGAGTGGGACATTCAGTACACAGAGCAGGGTGGTGAGTGGTAGAGTGGCGTTGCAAGCACCATGCTCTACCAACTAAGCTACACAGGGTTATGGTCAGGGTTGTCTTAACTAGAGGGGGTTATGGTTAGTGTTGTCTTAACCAGAGGGTGTTTTGGTTAGAGTTGTCTTAACTAGAGGGGGTTATGGTTAGAGTTGTCTTAACTAGAGGAGGTTTTGGTTAGAGTTGTCTTAACTAGATGAGGTTATGGTTAGAGTTGTCTTAACTAGAGGGGGTTATGGTTAGAGTTGTCTTAACTAGAGGGGGTTATGGTTAGTGTTGTCTTAACCAGAGGGTGTTTTGGTTAGAGTTGTCTTAACTAGAGGGGGTTATGGTTAGAGTTGTCTTAACTAGAGGAGGTTTTGGTTAGTGTTGTCTTAACTAGATGAGGTTATGGTTAGAGTTGTCTTAACTAGATGAGGTTATGGTTATAGTTGTCTTATGGTTAGAGTTGTCTTAACTAGATGAAGTTATGGTTAGAGTTGTCTTAACTAGATGAGGTTATGGTTAGAGTTGTCTTAACTAGATGAGGTTTTGGTTAGAGTTGTCTTATGGTTAGAGTTGTTTTAACTAGATGAGGTTATGGTTAGAGTTGTCTTATGGTTAGAGTTGTTTTAACTAGATGAGGTTATGGTTAGTGTTGTCTTAACTAGATGAGGTTTTGGTTAGTTGTCTTAACTAGATGAGGTTTTGGTTAGAGTTGTCTTAACTAGAGGTGGTTTTGGTTAGAGTTGTCTTAACTAGAGGAGGTTATGGTTAGTGTTGTCTTAACTAGAGGGGGTTATGGTTAGTTGTCTTAACTAGAGGAGGTTATGGTTAGTTGTCTTAACTAGAGGTGGTTATGGTTAGAGTTGTCTTAACTAGAGGAGGTTATGGTTAGTTGTCTTAACTAGAGGTGGTTATGGTTAGAGTTGTCTTACCTAGAGGTGGTTATGGTTAGTTGTCTTAACTAGATGAGGTTTTGGTTAGAGTTGTCTTAACTAGAGGTGGTTTTGGTTAGAGTTGTCTTAACTAGAGGAGGTTATGGTTAGTGTTGTCTTAACTAGAGGGGGTTATGGTTAGTTGTCTTAACTAGAGGAGGTTATGGTTAGTTGTCTTAACTAGAGGAGGTTATGGTTAGTTGTCTTAACTAGAGGTGGTTATGGTTAGAGTTGTCTTACCTATAGGTGGTTATGGTTAGTTGTCTTAACTAGATGAGGTTTTGGTTAGAGTTGTCTTAACTAGAGGTGGTTTTGGTTAGAGTTGTCTTAACTAGAGGAGGTTATGGTTAGTGTTGTCTTAACTAGAGGGGGTTATGGTTAGTTGTCTTAACTAGAGGAGGTTATGGTTAGTTGTCTTAACTAGAGGTGGTTATGGTTAGTTGTCTTAACTAGAGGTGGTTATGGTTAGAGTTGTCTTAACTAGAGGTGGTTATGGTTAGAGTTGTCTTAACTAGAGGAGGTTATGGTTAGTTGTCTTAACTAGAGGTGGTTATGGTTAGTTGTCTTAACTAGAGGTGGTTATGGTTAGTGTTGTCTTACCTAGGGGTTCCACCATGTCAACGTGGTCCACAAAGTCCCTCTTCCCCAGGTACACTGTGAGCTGAGGAAGACAATGGTGGGTTTCAGAGAATGGTGTAATGAGATAATGAATATAAGTACCAGATTTCATTGTTCTAAAAACTAAAACATATTTTTTTGACTAAAATATCACATACCCTTGAAAAAATGAATAATTTAAATATACACGCACAACAACGTTTTATGTGTTACAAACGTCTCAACAGTGTAAATATTGATGAAATAAATGTTTTCATAAAGATTATGCATCTTCAGGCTTCTGTAAAAGTATTGCTCTCTATAAACATTAACTCTGTCTGTCTCCAATATCCCATGTTCATCCTGTCGTTGACCAGGAGAACTCTGCTTAGAATCCTGTGTAGAACCCTGAGTAGAACCCTGGTTAGAACACTTTGTATAACCCTGTTTAGAACACTGTGGAGAACCCTGAGTAGAACCATGTGTGGAACCCTGTTTAGAACCCTGTTTAGAACCCTGTGTTCCAGGAAGCTGCTTCATATTCTTCCCACGGTATCTGCTGCTGCTGCTGTGAGGACCTGTGCCATCTTCTCTGCTGTGGCCTACAGACTACTGGAGACTACTGGAGACACAGGCATGGCCCAGCCAGCACTGCCCAGACAGGAGAATCACAGCTCTTAGCAGAGTCCTCTTGACCCTAACCCTAGCTCCAGCTACCAGACAGGTAGTTATTATAGCTGCTAGCTCCAGCTACCAGACAGGTAGTTATTATAGCTGCTAGCTCCAGCTACCAGACAGGTAGTTATTATAGCTGCTAACTCCAGCTACCAGACAGGTAGTTATTATAGCTGCTAGCTCCAGCTACCAGACAGGTCGTTATTATAGCTGCTAACTCCAGCTACCAGACAGGTAGTTATTATAGCTGCTAGCTCCAGCTACCAGACAGGTAGTTATTATAGCTGCTAACTCCAGCTACCAGACAGGTAGTTATTATAGCTGCTAACTCCAGCTACCAGACAGGTAGTTATTATAGCTGCTAGCTCCAGCTACCAGACAGGTAGTTATTATAGCTGCTAGCTCCAGCTACCAGACAGGTAGTTATTATAGCTGCTAGCTCCAGCTACCAGACAGGTAGTTATTATATCTGCTAACTCCAGCTACCAGACAGGTAGTTATTATAGCTGCTAGTTCCAGCTACCAGACAGGTAGTTATTATAGCTGCTAGCTCCAGCTACCAGACAGGTAGTTATTATAGCTGCTAGCTCCAGCTACCAGACAGGTAGTTATTATAGCTGCTAGCTCCAGCTACCAGACAGGTAGTTATTATAGCTGCTAACTCCAGCTACCAGACAGGTAGTTATTATAGCTGCTAACTCCAGCTACCAGACAGGTAGTTATTATAGCTGCTAACTCCAGCTACCAGACAGGTAGTTATTATAGCTGCTAGCTCCAGCTACCAGACAGGTAGTTATTATAGCTGCTAACTCCAGCTACCAGACAGGTAGTTATTATAGCTGCTAACTCCAGCTACCAGACAGGTAGTTATTATAGCTGCTAACTCCAGCTACCAGACCAGACAGGTAGTTATTATAGCTGCTAACTCCAGCTACCAGACAGGTAGTTATTATAGCTGCTAACTCCAGCTACCAGACAGGTAGTTATTATAGCTGCTAACTCCAGCTACCAGACAGGTAGTTATTATAGCTGCTAGCTCCAGCTACCAGACAGGTAGTTATTATAGCTGCTAGCTCCAGCCATCGGATGTGTTTCCTAATGTTCTCTAATTGTAAATGAAACCTTTGAAAATTATTATTACGCTAGAATGGTTACGTTGGGATCAGAAACACTTATTAATGCAATTTAAATGGAGATTAGTTGATTATTTTTGGATTGTCTAAGAAATCAGAGGAATGTTGCTCCTTATGCTTTTATTATGTAATAAGTCATTACTAATAACACAAAGTATAACTCACCTTTCCATTGGGACTTGCTTTTTTGAATACCCTGAAAAAGGACACAGAGAGAGAGAGAGAGATAGAAAGAGAGCGATGGGGAGCGAGAGAGATGGAGGGAAAGGGAGAGAGAGAGAGGGGGAGGAGAAAATAAACAGTGAGATTTAGGAGTTGATATCATTATCATTTATAAATCCGTTTCTTCATTCAAATAAAACAAAGAAACCAAACTAGATTGTAACAATGACCAGTCAAACCAACAGAATCTCTTGATGTGGCCATATTTGTCCGGTCCTTAGATTGTAGGTTATATAATGCTGTGCCATACTGGATCACACCAAGTAAACAAAAACTGTAAACAAAAACTGA